GCCAGAGCCATGCAAATGCCCCCCAGCTCCGGCCCTGACCCCCACAGAGCCCCCGAGCCGTGGCTTTAGGGACGGCCACGGCCAGTCCCTGCTCCGGGACAGCCCACCCCGCCTCGGGGGCTGCACATCCCCATCTCAGAGGTGCAAAACCCTCCATGCAGGAGGGGGGCACCCACCCGCCCTTACGCTGTGCTCAAGGCTGCTCTCCCAGCACCGGCATCGCCTGCCAGAATCCGGGCTTTAGATCTGGTTCTGAAGTGTGTTTTCCTGAGCAGGATAAACCCTTCTCGGCCTTTTAATGGTGTTTGGGAGTCGGCTGCTCACGGAGGCACCACTGGGAACATCTGAAAGGTGGGAGGGGGTGAGGAGGGACCGGCAGCCGTCCCGGAGCAGAGCCCGTGGCCCACGCTGATTTGTCCCAAGGCACATGGCTGGCGCCTGGTCACAGCCAGAGCTGCCACGCTGGCCCCCGAACCAGCCTCGGCAACACTCAGTGATGGGAGCGAAGCTGCTCGGGGATTCCTGAGGCTGGACAGGGCCCTGCGCTCCCCCAGGCAGAGGCAGGAGGACGGAGACCCTCGCTCACGGCACAGTCCTGCTGGCGACGGGCCTGATCCTGCACCCTAGAGCCACGGGGGTGCCCCAAAACACGACCAGTCCCAACCTGGTTCTCCCATCTTGGTGGCAGCGCCAGTCCAGTCCCACTGGGCTCCCCCGTGGCACCCAGCACCCACAAACTGCCCCTCTCGGGGGCACGGGGGACAAGGACACTTAAAGAAAAGTAACAACATATATACAGAAAGCGCTTGCAGGGAACCCCCGCCCAGCTCCCCGGGGCTGCTAGAGGTTGGTGATGTACACCTCCAGGCCGTTGGCCGCCGTCCTGGCAGAGGTTCGCCGGGACCCCCCCGCCCAGACGTCACCGACGCTTTCGTAGAGGTTCTCGGGGGCACCCGCCTTCCCCGGCCTGTCCCGTTTCGCCGCCTTCTTCCAGTTAACGTCTACGGCCTCGTAGTCCGGGTCGGGGCTGCGGCCCTGAGCAGTCCAGGCTCTGTCGTTGATGGACTCGTAGCAGGGGTCTGGGGGGCCTTGGGCTGCTGGGGGCCAGCACCCAGCCAGAGCACCCTCCTCCCGGCGGGGGGGCGGCCGCCTGGCACCCACCTCCCTCGCGGCCCTGGGGGACGATGCAGGGACTTGGGTTTTCTTCTTGGTGGCTTTGCACACCGTTGAGTACATCTCTTCCAGCTGCCAAAGGAAGGTGGGGTTCGGGGGCAATCCCTGCCCAACACAGGGTGTCCCCATGGTTGTGTGTCCCCCCCCCTTCAGCTCCCCACAGCCCCTGGGAGGATCCTGGCAGCAGATTAACCTTTGGGAATTCCGCTTTTTGCACAACCCAGGGAGCCTTTTGCAGGGCACAGAGAGCAGCACCATGGGCATCACCCGCCCTCGGGGTCTTGGCTTCATCCTGCCCCCCCCTAAAATCTCCACTGGACATGCAGCAGCCTGATTTACTCCCTGCTTCAAGCACGGGTGTTACAGGGAGGCAGGACATGACCTGCTGCCTCCCCGCCGCGTACCCCATCCCCACCACCCCCCCAGAGCCGTACCTTCACCCGGGGGGCATCGCCCGCCCCCTCCCAGCACTGCGGGGCTGCGGGGGGCCCCGTCACAGCCCCATCCTGCACCTCCACGGGCATCCCCTTCTTCACCTTCCGGACACAGGCGTAATCGGCCGTCCCGTGCACGGCGCGTGGGGGGGACACCTGGGTGCTGGCGGGTGCGGGGGGCACCGGGCCATCCTCCCCCCCCACCCCCAGGCACTCGTAGACCTACTCCAACCTGCTCTTCACCCCGCTGCGGAGGCCGGTGCCGGACACCGTCTACGAGTGCCTGGGGGTGGGGGGGGAGGATGGCCCGGTGCCCCCCGCACCCGCCAGCACCCAGGTGTCCCCCCCACGCGCCGTGCACGGGACGGCCGATTACGCCTGTGTCCGGAAGGTGAAGAAGGGGATGCCCGTGGAGGTGCAGGATGGGGCTGTGACGGGGCCCCCCGCAGCCCCGCAGTGCTGGGAGGGGGCGGGCGATGCCCCCCGGGTGAAGGTACGGCTCTGGGGGGGTGGTGGGGATGGGGTACGCGGCGGGGAGGCAGCAGGTCATGTCCTGCCTCCCTGTAACACCCGTGCTTGAAGCAGGGAGT